TGAAGGCCCGTCACTGCTGGCAGGCCGGTGAGCTGCCACCCTGCCCGGCTGGCAGCGTCCCGGACGGATGAGAACAATTGCGCTCCGTTGTGGAGCTTGCAGCCCTAGTCACGCCGAGCTGCTGTTTCAGAAGCATTTCTGCGCTTGATCGATAAATGACAGATTGCCAGAGATAATGCCTGTGTGCTCCTGGCGATAATGGAGCGCGGTGCTATGAGATAATGAAAGCTTTCAGGGCTAGTAATGCACGCTGTTTGGGTGCTCTGCGGCACTGTGGCTCTGCAGCAGGGACGTGTGTAGTGTCTGTGGCAGTCAGGCGGGTGCTGTGGGCCATTTTGAGCGCTTTTTCCACCGTCTCCGAGCTGACCTGGTGCTTCCTGTGCTGCTTGCAGAGGTTACATCGGGCGGGCTGCTAGGTGGGAGACAAGCAGAGGTTTGCTGTGGCAGGTGACCGCAGTGGGGTGAGTCCAGGTGTCCATCCAACGCTGTCTCTCTGGGACCTGGTTCACCAGCTGGAAAATGAGGCTGGGCTTGCTGGATCCACCCAGGAACGTCATGGCACGGAGGGGATCGAATTCCTGGTCTAACCCACGAGCACACTGCTGCCTTCTTACACTGTGGCCCTTCTCTCTGTCGTCCAGGCAGGCCCTGGTGTAACGGCGCTAAGCTGCTGGGTATTTTAAAGAGGGGACACTGTTTTCTTGCTGATCTGAAGTACAGAGAGTTTGTGCCTGCAGGAAGAAACGGCCGAAGCAAAGTTAAAATCAGTTTCTGAATTACTGACGTTAATAGGGAATTGAGCCACTGCTGTAGCAAAGCATTTCAGCAAGTGCCGAGTCCGGTGGACTCCACAAATTCACCGGGGGATGAGGTTTGTGAGACCGCCGTGCAGCCCAGCCCCGCTTTATGGCACGCCAGGTGTTTGCCGGCCATTCCCCGCTCCTGGCCTGCCACATAAAGGTTCTTCTGTCCTCGGCTAGAAATTTTTCCATGGTGCGTGCACGCAGTTGCCCAAGAGGCTTCCCTTAGCGCTCCATTCCTGCCCTGCTTTCTGGCACGGTTTTAGTGAGCAATTATCACCTGCAAAAGCCGAATCTCTCTGCCTGCAGCCCACATCAGCCTCTGCTGGGCTCAGGGCCGGCGGGAGGTATGGCAGGGAGAGCGAAGGGCCCCGCGCTCCGTAGGAGTCTCATTCATGGGAATTCCTGCTCCTGGCTTGCCTGGGAGGAGGGGAAGAGAGAGGAGACAACGTGGATTAGATGAGGCAAGAGTGTGCTGCAACGCTTGCTGGTTAATGCAGTTTATTGAGAGGGAGCTTGGAAACAAAAAGGGGTATGTCCAAAAGTGCTGGCTGGTGCCTTGCCCAAGGCTCTCCTTCCCAGAGTTTGCGTGGCGGGTGGGACCGGTTTCCTCCCAGAAGCACGTGTGGAAGACGGGGAAAAAGAAGGGCAAGCTCAGGGCTGATTTAAAAACTGGATCTGAGGTGGGCATTTTTCCCCAGAGCAGCCTCTGCTAACCGAGGATGCTTGTATGCCCTGGCCGCGATGGAAGATGTTGCCTCTGATCCGTTGTTTTCTAATTGCCGGAGACAGCGTTTTCTGGCAGCAGCCCTGATGCATGGATCTGTCCCCCTCGCATCTCAGCTGGGAGGAAAAGCAGTGGAAATCTGTCTTTCCTCTCATTAGCAGTGAACCTGTGGCAACTGATAAGCCTTGCAGGAGCTCAGGGTTAATCTTCCTGGACAGGACCTCTTCCTTATCTACCTCGACCTTCTCTCTGGAGGTCCTCGGGTGGAAATGCCACGCTCACAAAGCCACCGCGCCCTTGTAAGGATGCTCTCATTGATCAGATGCTTGAGATGTGGCTTTACAATCTTTTTTTTTTTTTTTCCTAATAAATAGAAGGGAAGGGGGGGTGTGAAATGTCGGCACTTAACGTTTTCATGTCAGAATGACAGGGAGGTTGAGCAGGTGAAAAGAAAAGGTAGAAGGGAGGAGGCAGAAGCGGAAACATCACTTTGCTGCATCTCCCTCTCGCGCGTGAGCGAAGAGAGTGCGGTGGCTCTCGGGGTGTCGTGAGGACTGGCAGTGCTTGGGAAACCTCCAAGGTCTTTTCAAAAGAAGGTGCTGGGACAGTGCCACGCTCTGTTCCGTGCTCGAGGTCCTGGGGGAAGAGCTGCTACGAGCCTTCCCCTTGCTGGGCGACTCAGACGAGACTCTGTGCTCAAGCGGCCTGCAGCTCCCAGCATGATTTGCTTAGGAAATACGTAAAAAATCTGTATTTTCTGTCATGCTTAAAAAGTTCCTGGTCAAAAGCACCAGCACTGCTGGTGTATGCCTCTTCCAGCGTTCGGAAGGGGAAAAATCTTGCAGCATCCCGAAGGGATGTCTTCTCTCGGGGGATATGACAAGAGCTTTCTCAGGATCCTTGTTTCTGGTTCCTGGCCTCTGGCTCACCAGTTCTGCCTGTCAAGCAATACTGCATTGAGCTAAACCTTCCTGAACTCTTTGTAAACCGTCTTATCTTGCCATCTCATCCACCTACCTGCTGCGTTGCACAACAGCCCTATTTCCAGGCTGCCGAGACGCTGCGAGTCTTGGCATATTAATGCTCCTTAGTTCCATTTTAAGAAATTACAGTCCCGTTGTGAAATGTGGGAAGCAACCCACGCTGGAGAGCTGAGCAAATTTGCGCTTCTTCCTGCCGGAAAATGCACGGTTTGGCCGAGGTTTGAAGATAGTGTGCGTGAGATACCTTTGTATCGTCATGTCGGTAACAGGTACTAAATTTTCTCCTGGAAGGTGGACTGATGCAGTTACCAGTAAGCTGAGGAGCTATAGAATGGCTGGCAAAAGTAACCCTTGCTGATGAAAGAAAGGAGGATGAGACAGGAGTCCGTGAACTAGATCTCCAGCTGGGGTTTTCTGCATGTCTGCTGCAACTCTGCCAGGGCTTTCTCCATTGGGGCTGGATGTGCCCAGCACGTGGCTCTCCCGGTCGGCCTCATCGTGAGGAAATCTCGGCTGGAAATCTCGGCTCGAGTGTGAGTCTCGGCCCCAGGCAGTTTGTCACGGTCCCTCCTCCTTCTCCGAAGGGGAGTCAGGGCTGAGGCTGCTTCCCATGGGAGCCCCGGCCACGCTGCTCTCCCCCGGGGCATTGCCTGAGCGTCAGGGTGCCCAGCCCACGGCTTCCTCCAGGTCTGGGCCGTGCCTCGCTCAGGTGCGTGGGTTGTGCCAGGGAGTCGTTATTGCCACATCGATGATTTGGAGGTAGTGAAAACCTCCCAAGAAGGGAGGGAAAGAAACTGCTCACAGCAGGGTCCTTGGGGCAGCCTGGAGAAGTCTGTACCCATCCTCTCCCTGCCTCTGAGTAAGAAGCTGTTTTTCTCTGGTGCGGTGATGCTGTTGTCTTCCCAGGAGCAATTCCAGGGTGTTTAGGCCCCCCCATATCAGTGTTTTTTTTTTTCTCCTCCTGGCAAAATACAGGAAAGCAAATGCGTCCACCAGCGTGTGTAACAGAACCGCCTCTTTCATCCCCTGTGCAGGAGTCACCGAGGCATTGACTTTATTAGCACATTTAGATAAGACCTGATAAAAATTGGCTGTCGATCTGCTTGGTTCTGTTTGCACCATTCCTCCAAAGCTGTTTCCTCTGCAACATAATGTTTTCGTCTCTCCAGGGAGTCAGTCTGACAGCTGCCAAAGAACGGGGACAGCTTGTCTTCTTGGAAGGCCTCAAGTCCTGCCTTGACCTCTTGTTTGGCGAGGAGGAGGAGCAGTCAGGACAGCCCAGTCCTCTCCAGTTTATAAGGTAAAGCTGACCAGTTGGTGGTTCTCGGGGGCTCAGCAGGGCCCCCCGCACCGAGGGTTCGCCCCCCTCGTGTCTCCTGCCACTGCAGCCAGCGCCAAGAGCAGCAGTGAAGCCCACAGCTGAGACCCAGCTCCCTTTGGGCTCCCCTCCGGGGCCCAAGGACTTCATAGCTGGGACACATAGAATCATAGAATCATGGAATTGTTTAGGTTGGAAAAGCCCTTTAAGATCATCCAGTCCAACCATTAGCCTAACACTACCAAGTCCATCACTAAACCAATTCAGGGGAGAGGAATAATTTCATGTTTCCTGGCTTGGTGGCTGGACTATTTTTTAATGAAAGTAAAACTAGGAATCACTGAGGTTGGAAAGGATCTCTAAGATCATCATCCCAACCATCACCCCAACACCCCCATGCCCACTAAACCATGTCCCCAAGTGCCACCTCTGCCCGTTTTTTGAACCCCTCCAGGGATGGGGACTCCCCCACCTCTCTGGGCAGCCTGGTCCAATGCTTGAC